GAAGAAGGAGGAGGAAGTGAGATATTGGGAATGCCCTGTTGAAAACACGTCAACGCCGTCAATGTCATCGAAATATAAACCATTATATATATATATATACATACACCGAGAGAAAACAAAATAGTTACAGCAACTATAAATTTGGCAACTTTTGAAATTGAAGTATCTGTAACTAGTTTTATAAAGTGATATCAACTAAAGTAGTACTGAGTATTATAAAAATATAGTAACGATAACAATATCGTCTGCACTATTAATTGGTAGTGACATAGCGACTCAACTATATTGTGTAGTTACTTGGACTTTATAGAAATAGATATGACAGTTACATTTTTCTGGTTAAAATAAATATGTTTTTTTGATAAAACATAATGCCATAATAACTTATAGTGTCTGTTACGTGAACTATAGATTTTTAGTACTCGCAACTAATAACGGAATAGCCTAAATTGAGACACGAATATCTCCGAGTGGAAGGGATGCGCTTACCCTATAGGCAGTGATGCAATCTGGTCCCCGGGCACCACGAGTCTCGCTGTCTCGCTCGCTCTCGCGCAGCGGCGATTTTCCGTTGTTTTCCCGGAGGACTCCCGGAAGCCAGACTTGCATCACTATAGGTCGAGCGGACTCAGCGCACGGTGTATAATTTAGCCTCTTGCCATTGTTTTTAACGTCTTTTCCTTTCTTAACGTGTTGAGACGTATCTCACCTCACGTACGCCACGCCGATTCAAGTATCCACGGCAGTGTCTCACTCAGTGTTCTTAGTGCCGAGACACTATCGTGTCTCTAGATAGATAAGTGACGATTTCAGCTTGAGCGTGCATTGTAGTGCATTTAATGTGTTAAATCGAAGGGTTCTTCATTGGTATTTACGCATCCGAGCAGCGTATACCGTGGCCGCAGAGACGCCTCGCCATTTATTGAAATATATGTATGTATATTTATATTTTTTCATAATTGTGTGGCAAAACAGATTATAAGTTACGATGTACATAAAATCTATTTTATATACTTTTTCATAAGAAAAACTCTTTTTATATTTCTATTTGAAGTTTTTTCTTTTTATCTTATTTTTAGTAAGATCTTTGCACATGAAACAAAAGCCCTTAATGATTATTCTACAATGTGCTCTTTGTTTTCTGTTTCTTGCTTTTTGCCTCTTGCTTTATTCCTCTTTGCGATATATCTCTTTTATCGATAATCAGTATTTCTTGCCACTTTTCCGTTTCTTCCGAAGTTCGCTGTTCGTTAATTCGTTCGTTAATTCGTTTTATCTTGAGCGATAAAAAATCAAGAACGGGTTAAGAAGCCAAAAAACAAGATAAAAAATAGCAAAAAGCAAGAAACGAGAAACAAAAAGCACATTCTAGAATAGACTTTAGCTTTATATGTTCTTTTGTAGCAATTTTGATTGTTTTATCACAAATTCAAGAAGATGGATTGCTGTAGTAGCACTAATACTGAATCTTCATCTACAGTTTCCAATAACACTTATTTTCAAGAAATATTATTGGATAATGGTTCAGAAACTAAAACTTTTATTCGAACAAAATTAACAGAGTGGGGGCTTTTCGATTATATTGAGATATTTGAACGTGAGTTGTATCGTAAAAATTAACTGATTTTATATATTTTTTATGTGTACACAAATTATATAAATTTATATTTTTTAATTTTCTTTTTATCTTCTTATCATTTTTAATACATAAAGGTATTTTTATACAAGTGAATTAAAAATTTCTTTAATTATTGTTGTAGGTGAAAAAATAGATAAATCAGTATTTCTGTCTATCCCTGATGAGGCAGTTGCAAAGTTAATCCAGCCTATGGGACATTATTACAGATTTATTTTTGAAAGACAGAAATACATAACATCAAATGTAAGCATTTTTTAAATTCTAATACATAACATAATGTACTAATAGTTGTTTTTATACATATAATACATGTTTATAAAATAATATTTGAAATATCTTTGAGTGCATTCGCTTTGCATGCTTATACGTTGTTAGCATCATTTTATCCTTGTTCATCAAATATTAAATGAATAATGCTTATAAGATCCAAAGCGAACGCACTTTTAGTATTGCAAAGATTGTGCTTCTTTAATCTTTCTGTCAATATATGAGTATTCAGGTACTCATATAGAATTTTAAATGATAAAAATTTTTTATTTCTGTTTGAATTGTGTTATAAAACACCTTAAAAATCTTACTTTATTGAAAAACAAAGAATCGTTTTAAGTAGACTTTATCTCGTTTTCACTTTTACATTTTTAGAAAGAACTTTGTGAAATATGATAGTGAAAAGGTAAAAAATTATGCATTAACAGAAGGCTTAAGAAATTTCATTACGTTTCATTCTATATGTGTATACTTATATTGTTTTTCTTGGAATGTTTTTAAATTTATATATTTCTCTTTTTGTAGAAAGAAAAAAAACCTTATTCTAAAGTATCAGAAACATCTGGGAAGGTAAATTATAATTTCATTCTTTTTTTTTATTTGCACAATATTACTTTACTAAGATATTAAGACCAATAATTAATAAATATATTATTTTAGCACTTGCGATCACTGCTGAAACAGACAGTAGAAGGAAAATACTTATTAAAACAATCATCCATTTTGCGTAGTTCTAATTATTTGGCAAAAATTATAATTGATCATCTCTTGAATAAGGAAAACAAATTAAAGTACGTTAAATATTATTTTATTATTTTGGAATATATATTAAAATATATGTTTTAATGTTATTAAAGTATAAAGAAATTATACTTTAATTAGAAGAAAATGTATAAAGAAATTATATTCATAGAAATAAGTAATTTATTTCTATTAATAATAACACATTCACATACTACAGGATTTCTAAAGATCAATTTATATTCTGGGCCCACGAAATAACGAATATATGGCATGAAGAAGATATTGAAAGATGGTATATACCTTCTAAAAGGGGCAAATCAGCTTCAGGAAAGTTATATTATTATTATACGAATAAACTTAGGAAAATAAAAGCAGCAGTAACAGAATTTAACCGAGAAGAAACTGAACATATAGAAAAGCAAATTGAGGAGGAAGCCGATGTGTATATTTCTGAATTGAATAATACATCTTTAGATGATAAGAAGAAAATTTTATCTCTATGGGAAAAAACTTTTGTCTATCGCACAAAAGCTAACGGAAAAAATATTGCAGAGTATTTTGACGGATATCCACAGTTGCGCCCACCGTTAGGAATACAACTTATTGAATTAGATTTTAAATTATTAAATATAGCGCAAATCGATATTTTAGGAAAAAAGTGGCCGGTTTTGCATCCAAACATAATTCGATTGGCAAAAAAACAACCAACAACATCAAATTTATTAAAAGATTTCAAGAAAGTACCAGCGGATGTACAAGCCTGGCTAGTTTTACCATATTTATTCAAACCAGTGCTGAAAAAAACAGGCTTAAAAAAGCCATGGAAACCATCATACAAAGAACAATCTGATGGATTTATTACTTGGATAAATGTAAGTTTTATAATTTCATCTTTAATGTTATAATGTTACTTTATTTTATAACTCTGTTTTTTGTGTATAGGTGATAACTGATATTGAAAAAGTAATTTCTACACATCGAACATTGATGAGCGATTATAAATTAACGTTGCAACCTTTCGTGATTGTGGTATTATCTAAAGAAAAAGTTGCAGCTGCTTATGTTATAATTAATGATGAAAAATACCAGTTTCAAGATGTTACTAATGCTATAGCTTTCTGTTGGAAATCTTTTTTTGTTTTGAATGCTGCATATCCCGTCTCATGTGAAGCAATTTGGATATATATTGAAGAAGAAATTTATGAATGCAAAAAAACTAAATCAAGTTATCAAAGCGTTAAATGGGTCAGAGATTCTATAAACAATTTAAATAATGAAAGTACCGATTGCGAATCACAATTCTCAACAAATTCTAGCTTTGAACTTTCAGGTACAGATGACACTGAATAATTCTTTATTTTTTCCTAACTTTCAGTTTCGTTAAAATAAAAAGATCTACAGTTTATATATGTTTTAAATAATATTAAGTACAATGGAAGCTCGTTGTCCTAAATGTTCAAAGCTACTAAAGGGAAAATTAATGCACTATCATATGCGTTATTTACATAAACAAAGTGTTGTTTATGCCTGTGCTGAAAATTCATGCAATAGGACGTTTAATACTTGGGGTTCTCTTCGTAATCATTACAGAAAATGTAATAAATTATTTAGAAATATTGATGTACCTACTTCTAATGCAAATAATGATTATAATACAAATATCAACTATGACAATTGTGAATTGAAAGAGTCAGAGAAAGAAGATTTTATTACAATTAATAACAATACTTCACTTGATTTAACTGAAAATACTGACAAGTTCTCATTTTTTGATAACGCATTAAAGATTGCAGCAACTCTTTATGGCGATATTAAAATGAGCCGTATTCAGGCTGATAACATAATAACTTTATTCCATGAAACTTTAAATAACGAGTTTATGAATTCATTGAAAGAATTTCTTGAAAAACATATTAATAAACCTGCTTTAGGTGAATTTAAAAAGCGATTTAATGATCTTCAATCAAGCTTTTCACAAATAAATTCAGAGCATAAATGTTTCGAAGAATTACGTAAACGTAATTGTCTTATAGATTCTAAAACTGTTACGTACGGTTATAGAGAAGAATTAAATATAAACACAATAAAATATAAAAAAAATTGTGGATCTATTATTCCTATAGCATATATTTAAAAAAATTTTTTTGAAATACCTAATATTTTTAGAAAAACTGAAAAATACTTAACAAAATTACAATCAGAAAAAAGTATATCTAATATCATGCAAACTGATTTTTGGAAATCAAAAATTTCAGAATCAAACAAAATTACCTTGCCTTTATTTTTATATGAGGATGATTTTGAGTGTGGTAATCCATTGGGCTCACATACAACTGTTTATAAAATGTCTGGAATGTATATTTCTTTATCGTGTTTACCACCAGAATTTCGATCAAAGCTTGATAGTATATTCCTTTTTCAAATTGTTCATTCCAGTGATGTAAAAGAGTATAAACCCGAAGTAATATATGGGCATGTCATTAAACAATTAAATAGTTTAGCAACTGAAGGAATTGAAATTAATATTGATGGAAAACTAATTACTATTTTATTCAAAGTTGCTTTAATAATTGGTGACAACTTAGGACTAAATTCAATTCTTGGTTTTACAACAAGTTTCAATTCTAACTTTTTTTGTAGATTTTGTAAAGTCACTAAAAATATATCAAAGACACAATATAAACAAAATAATTGTTTCTTACGCAATAAAGAAAATTATGATTCGGACGTTATGAAAAATGATGTACAAAAAACGGGAATTAGAGTAAAATCTGTTTGGAACGATGTTCTTGATTTCCATATTACACAGAATTTTTGCGTTGACATAATGCATGATTTACTTGAAGGTGTCTGCAACTATGAAATGGGACTTATTTTACATCAATTTATTTGTATTCAAAAATTATTTACGTTAGAAGTTCTTAATTTCAAGTTAAAATATTTTAAATATCCGGTTAACGATAATAAGCCTCCACTCATAACAGCTTTGCAATTACAAAAGAAATATATAAAACTGTCAGCTGCGGAAATGAAGTGTTTTATTTTAAATGCATCTTTAATTTTCGGTGATCTCATTTCACGAGAAAATATCTTTTGGAATTTATATATATTATTGAGACAAATAGTTAGTATTGTGCTACAATCTATTATTACCAGTGATGATATTAATTTACTTGAAGAACTTGTCGAGAAACATCACTTATTATACGTCAAACTTTGTAAAGACACCTTAAAACCAAAGCATCATTTTATGATTCATTATGCTCATATTATGAAAATTGTAGGGCCTTTAATTCACATCTGGACAATGCGTTTCGAAGCTAAACATCGACCATTAAAACAAAGTGCATTAATGTCAAACAATAAAATTAATTTGCCTTTAACTATTGCTATTAAACATCAATTGCATATGAGTACACTATTTCTAGATAATAAAGTTTTTGAAGAATCTATCACTTATAAAAAATTAGAATATTTTGACGTCCTATTGAGTGTTGTGCAAATTTTTCAGACATTTTAAATGATTATGATCAAATAAAATATGTTATTATTGGAAGTATTAAATACAATGTCAATACTGTTATTAAACTTTCTGCTGATAATTTACCAATATATGGCCTTATAACTTATATCTTTCGAAAAAAAAAAATCATATCAAGGATTTTGCTTTTATTGTAAAGATTCTAAAATGCGTAGAGAAAGATAATCATTTGCAAAGTCATCGATTAACAGATATGAAAGATTATGAGTTTGTACGATACGAATCACTTTTATTTTTTGAACCACGAAATTGCGTCGTAATTTGGAACGGTATGTTATATATTGCATATGATAATCACATGTTTTAATATTGATCTTAATCATATCTAATATTCACATATAATAATCACATAATATTTAAAACATAATATTCAAAACATGTACTATTCAAAACATACTTTTTTAACATAATTAATATTACGTTACATAAAGAAGCGCATTAAGAAGAAATTTATTTTAAAAAAAAATTTTTTCTGAGCATGTTGTGTAATATATTTTTTTTTATGTATAACTTTATATTTCAATCGATACTTATTACGATATATAAATGTAAATGTTTTATATGGAATAAAGGCTATATTTCTCGTATAAAAATTGAGTAATTCTCTTATACTTCCAAAATACTTGTGATTAACCTAAAAATAAAAAGCAATATTAATGACATTATACCTGTTTATAAAACTAATTGTTTATTGTACTAGTTACTACATAAAATATGTTTGTGCAATAAAATAAATATTGTTAAAACAAATAAGAAAATATTGTTTATGTAACTCTAGAAATTATGTTCTGTGTACTATAAAAATTGTGTTTTTTTTATATTTAAAAAACTAGTTAATATCACTATAATAGTATTTTTCATATTACTATAACACATATTTTGCGTTAACGATATATTTTTCGTTCAGGTTACTATTTTTTTGTTGTTTACTCAACGATTTACTACAAATGGTTAATTTTACTACATTTTTAAAATACATATTACTTATTTATTATGT